GTTGTTCTTCTACCTTCCTCAGGCTGAATGCCTGGTCTTTAACAATTGTTTTCCTCTTGATATGGTTGTGTAACAACTTTGGGCCAGATTTGGCTGTTAATGCTGTGTCATTTTCCTGTTGCCTTTGGGCTCCTCTCCTTCTCCACACATATTCATTTCTGCCTGTTATGCTCAACTCCTTATTTTCCTGTATCCTTTGTCTTCTATATTTTTTCCCCATGCTCTAGCACACTTGGCTTTGGATTCAGTCTGGTCTTCCCAATGCTTCTGTTGCCCCTTAGCATGAACTTCTCTGCTTTGATGCACTTTGTGGCCACTTGTTCCATCATTTCGTTTACTCTCTTCCCTTCTAGCTCTTTCCCACTGCATCTCATGCAGAAATTGCCTCATAGCCGTGTAGTCCCATTTTTTTTAAAGTTTGGCTTCTTCCATTCTTCTTGTGCTGCTTCACTCTCCATTGTTAACTCTTCTATATATTTGAAACTCAGGACCATGTGATTGCTAGTGCTGAGAGGCCTTTCATGTGTGATATTCCCTATGTCAGCATAGTTGCTGATCCCCTTATATGTGTAGTATAGATTAGCTGAGTATTATAGTACCATCCATGTGCTTTATACAGAAGATCCCTAGTAGGCCTGTGACTGTATGACATCACGGGGTACAGCTTGAGGCAGTGAGATGAGCTGCCTCGCTCTCACTCGGCGTATAGACATCCAGGCAGTAACACGGCAGGCTGGGCCCATCCCTTCCTTACCACAGTCTGACAATATATATCATTACCATCCAACAAGTGAGTTTACCTTATCCATCATTCTCCTACTGAACCCCCTATGGCACCTATGTCCGAACTGTTCAAGGTGAATATGAGGTCCAGCCTTTCTGGTTCATCATATCCACTCTTGCTGGTTGTGTCCCTAACATGTTGGTGCATGAAGCTTTCCAGCACCGCCTCTGGCATTGTAGCTCTCCACATCTCTGGTCTTCCATGTGGCTCCAGGTTTTCCCAACCTCCTTGTAGCTGAAATCTCTTATGATGAGTGACTTTGCCCTGCCCATACGGGCCCTTCTGGCCACCTCGCACTCTTGTTATAATTTCCTGGTCCTTGGTGGTGGATTATACATCACTGCTATCATCAGTTTTGAACCCCAGTCTGAAGTGTTCCTACAATGTAGTCATCCTCTACATCTCTGCTTAGTCCTCCCATCTCAAATTTCCATTGGTTGTTGACGAGCAGTGCAACTCCTTCCTCTCTACCCCCCTTGTTTTCCCTCATTATCAGATATTCACTCAGGAAGATTGCATCTGTTATCACCCCCATGAGATTTGTCTCCATGAGTGCTATGATGTTCGTGGATGCCTCATTGATTCTTTCCTGCCACTTCTTGCTCTTCTCTGTTATTCCATCTGTGTTGGTGCACCATACCTTCAACTTCCTCTCCATCAGTGTATTCTGCCGGGTGGGACGGGTTGGTGCAGGTTGAAGGAGTGGAAGACAGGGATGGATATTATGTTAGGCTGTTGTTGTGGTGATATTAGTGCTGGGAGGGGTAGGGACTGTTGGGGTGGAGTGTGGGTTGTTCTGGTTAATGTCTTCAGTTGGTGTGGGGGTGGGGGTTGAAGGGAATCTGTTGACGGTTGTGTGGTTGGTTGTATTCATTGTTTTTCCAGGAGGCTGTGCTCTCTTGTCTGTTGGTGCCTGCCCTGTCTCTTCATGACCCTGGTGTCTTCTTACACTTTCTCATAGCTGTTCCCATTCTTATGTGTTCTGTTGCAGTCGAGGTACACTTGCTGGTATTTTGGGGAATCCTTTCACAGTGGTTTCCACTGTAGGATCTTGTTTCATACCATTTATGAACTGAATGTCAATTTGAGTACCACCCAAGTTGAGTCAGATTTGACTTTTAATGCTATGTCATTCTTGTATTGTGGCTGGGCCTCTCTCCTTATCCATGCATATTTATTTTAGGTTCCTCTGCTCAACTCCTTGTTTTCTTAAGTCTGTTGCTTTCTAAACTTAATCCATGCTCTAGCACACTTGGCTTTTACCTCTTTACAATCCAGTTAAACAATGTGCTCACTCTGGTCTTTTCATTTTTTTTCTGTTACTCCTTGGCATGAATTTCTCTTCGGCCTCCCTGCACTTCGTGGTCACTTGTTCCATCATTTTATTTACTGTCTTATCCCTTTAATTCTCTATCTCACTGCACTTCATGCAGGAAATGCCTCATGTCTGTGTAGTCCCTTTTTTTAAAGTTTGGTTTCTCCTGTCCTCCTCATGCTGCTTTACTCTCCACTGTTAACTCTACAAACTATTCGAAACTAAAGACCATGTGATCATTACCGCCTAGGGCAGGTCTATCTTGTGTAATATCCTAAGTGTAAACTGTACAACCTTGTTGATACATCCTCTACTCTCTTCTCTCTCTCTCTCACTGGTTGTATCCCTAACGTGTTGGTACATGAAGTTTTCAATGCTGTCTCCAGCATCTTAGCCCTTCATGTTTCTGGTCTCCCATGTTGCTCTAGGTTTTTCCCAGTCAATCTGCTTGTTACTGAAATTTCCCCATGATGAATAGCTTTGCCTACACATGTGGGCCCTTCTAGCCACCTCGACTAGTGTATCCATCATTGCTCTATTGTTCTCATTGTACTCTTGCCTTGGTCTCAGTGGCAGGTTGTACATTCAGTGGCAGGTTGTACGTCACCTTCAGACTCCCAGTCTGAAGTGTTCCTATTGTGAAGTCATGTGCTTCCCCTCTTTCCATTCCTCCCATCTCCTCGAAACTCCAATGGTTTTTGATGAGTAGTGCAACTCCTCTCCCCCCTCTGTTCCCTTTCTCTTCCCTCGGGATGTGATATCCAGTTGGAAAGATTGCATCGGTTATCATCCCCATGAGCTTTGTCTCCCTGAGTGCTACAATATCCAGGGACGCCTCAGTGATTCGTTTTTGCCTCTCCTCACTTTTATTTGTTATTCTATCTGGGTTGGTGTACAATACATTCAACTTCCTCTCCAGTACTGTATTCTTAGAGGTTAGAGGGGTTGGTGCAGACTGATGTGTGGAAGGCAGACTGGGATACAATGGATGGCTGCTGTGATTGTAGTATTAGTGCTGGGGGAGGGGCTATGGAGTGTGGCTTATTTCTGGTGATCGTGTTTGGTTGTATGGAGTGGTAGGGGTTGAGAGGGATCTATGTGTATTTGTGTTTGGTGTTACCCTCAAGGCTGAGCTTCCCTGTCTGTCAATGTGTGTCCTGTCACTCTTTCCTTCCACTGGTGTCTTCTTACCCTCACTCTCAATTGTTTCCATTCTTTTTGTGTTCTTTCATGGTCAAGGTACACTTGCTGATATTCCCAGGAGTCCTTTAACAGTGGTTTCTGTTGTATCCTGTTCCATATCACTTCTGTCCTGACTGTCAATTTGACTGGACAATTTTTTTTTCCTTTGAATACCCCACAATTCTGTGAAAATTTGTTGACTTGGACATGTCCTTCTCTCCTGTAATTGCGATGATGTTCTCAATCTTTTTTTTCTCTCAATGTCTTCTTTCATCATATGTCGCCCCTTCAGCCTCCTGAAGTCCATGAATAATTATTGACCTTTCTCTCTTCTTCCCATTACTTTTCCCTCCATATCAATGGATCCAATTTAAGTATTCTTTTTGATGTTTCCCTTATCTCCCGTACAGTGGTCTGATATCACTTCTGTATTGGACTTCTTAGCTCCTTCCCCTCCTTCAGTTCCCTCGCTGTCCTGTGATGTTCCTGTTTTCATCACCTTGCTCTTAGCTCCGCTTAATGCAGCCAGACTCATAATCAGCTCCAAAGGTTCAGTTTCCTACAGATTATCCAGATGGCTAGTAGACATATTGAGACCAATTGTTGGCAAAATTTCCAACTTTAATTTAAAAAATAATATTGATATTGTTTATAAATTAAGCAACATTATTGATTTAAATAATTACAATATGGTTAGTCTTGATGTTCTTCGTTGTTCAAAAAAGTTCCAGTGATGATTTAAGTTTCCTATCTGAAGAAGTCGGTAATTACGATTTACCATTGCCAGTATCTACAGTCACTGAACTCATTAAACTCTGTATTGTTGATGCAAAGTTTATGTTTAATGTGTAATATTGCACTCTGAAGCTTGGTATGGAATTGGGAAATCCTCTCACACTTATCCTTAGTAATTTGTACTTGGAAAATTTTGAAATAAGACTGCTTAACATATATGTTGATAATATGCCTAATGCCCAAGAATATGATTATATGAAATTTTCCTGTTCAATAAAATAGCCTAGCTCATTACATAAATATTTCTTGTTGATTTTAAACAAAATATCTCACTGCAATTTTTATATCTTAATTATTAAAGGAGCCATGATTTTAAATTCAAAATATGCAGAAAGCCAACAAATCTGTACACTATTATTCCTCACATCATGATAGTCAAACTTTTTGTAATTTCAGGACATTTGTTCAAGTAAAGTACCTAATATTCTGATGCATCATCTCGACACTAAAGAAGTAATTAAGGATCAATAGTAATAATGTTGGTGGTGGCATGAAGCTGGAGGGTTAGGTCAGAACCTTCACACCTAGGTTAAGACTGGCTTCAGTGTTGGGTACCTAACCACATGATGCATCAACTCTGATAGATTGGCAGTTAAAGGTATGTCAGATGCTGCAAGTAGTGAGAGAGAACAGAGACAGAACATAGGGAGGACGTAAACATTAACAGAGTGGACACCATCTTACAGTAGGACCATGGCGTACCTTGAAGGAGACTGAACAAGAATTGTCGATGAAGAATTGGCTCTGAGGAATCTGTAGTTCCTAAGATCTTCCTGACATAATTTTCCTCTTCCTTGAGGGGGGTGCATGTATTTCCTGTTTTTTTTTTACCCAATATGTTTTTCATGTAACTTTAATACCTCCTTTTTAGAATTGAATAAAAAATACACTTTAGTGCTGAACACACGAAGGTTGAATACTTACGAGTAACATTGAGAGTAGTGTTGGTGGAGACTGGTGGATCAGGTAACGTGGAGGAGGATGCGGTACACGACAGCACTGCTCCGTTTTCCTTTGGTGTGACAACGAACTTAACCCAAGACACAGTGTCGCTCCCGACCTGCCGCGTCTGCCATATTATCGCCAAGAAAAAAAGAGTAAAGACAAAAATTTGACTAAGTTTGATTTGTGTTCTGTAAATTGCACTAGGATCATTGTGACTGCAGTTCACCTCTACACAAACAAAAAAAATATTGCAAATTTGAAACTGGGACTAAAGAAGTGTCGGAGGTTACTGCGTACTGGATGGCCCCGCATATACAGCACTTATTTTCAGTGTACCATATTTTTGTTGGATTTTAATTAAGTCATTGTTCCACCCGTCGGTGACTGTAATAGACGGGCAGAACACAATGAACAATGGCTCAGTTTGAAGCCAAGAAAAATGCAGAACCCTGAAAAGAAGGTGCTGTATATGCGAGGCCCTCCTGTGTATACTGCGGGAAATATTCCTTTTAGCAAATATACTGTGAAACAGCTATCAGTGAATGCAGTCCAGAGATACACAGCAGTGCACATACACTGACATACAGATCTTGGTCAAAATATACACAGATAAAAAATGCTTTGTGTATATACACTGAGAAATACGCTGCTATCAGTGAACATAAACTGATATACAAATCTCCGTCTAAATACACAGACAAAAAAATCTCTCTATGTATATATTCCAAGAGAAATATAAAAAAATTTGATGCATATATATCAAAAGATATATAGTTATTGGTGAATAGGTATTTATATATATATAATATATTATATATATATATATATATATATATATATATATATATATATATATATATATATATATATATATATCCCACCGAAGCAGGGTGGCCCAAAAAGAAAAACAAAAGTTTATCTTTTTAAATTTAGTAATCTATACAGAAGGGGTTACTAGCCCCTTGCTCCCGATATTTTAGTCGCCTCTTACAACACGCATGACTTACGGAGGAAGAATTCTGATTCACTTCCCCATAGAGGTAAGAGGAAATAAACAAGAACAAGAACCAGAAAGAAAATAGAAGAAAACCCAGAGGGGTGTGTATATATATGCTTGTACATGTATGTGTAGTGTGACCTAAGTGTAAGTAGAAGTAGCAAGACATACCTGAAATCTTGCATGTTCGTGAGAGAGAAAAATGGATACCAGCAATCCTACCATCTTGTAAAACAATTACAGGCTTTCGTTTTACAGTCACTTGGCAGGACAGTAGTACCTCCCTGGGTGGTTGCTGTCTACCAACCTACTACCTAGATATATATATATATATATATATATATATATATATATATATATATATATATATATATATATAAACAAGTCGGCCGTCTCCCACCGAGGCAGGGTGACCCAAAGAGAAAGACAATCCCCAAAAAGAAAATACTTTCATCATCATTCAACACTTTCACCTCACTCACGCATAATCACTGTTTTTGCAGAGGTGCTCAGAACACAACAGTTTAGAAGTATATACGTATAAAGATACACAACATATCCCTCCAAACTGCTAATATCCCAAACCCATCCTTTAGAGTGCAGACATTGTACTTCCCATTTCCAGGACTCAAGTCCGGCTATATCAAAATAACCGGTTTCCCTGAATCCCTTCACTAAATATTACCCTGCTCACACTCCAACAGATCGTCAGGTCCCGAATACCATTCGTCTCCATTCACTCCTATCGAAAACGCTTGCGCAGGCTGCTAGAAGTCCAAGCCCCTCGCCCACAAAACCTCCCTTACCCCTTCCTTCCAACCTTTTCGAGAACGACCCCTACACCGCCTTCCTTCCCCTACAGCTTTAAACGCTCTCCATGTCATTCTACTTTGATCCATTCTCTCTAAATGACCAAACCACCTCAACAACCCCTCTTCAGCCCTCTGACTAATACTTTTATTAATAACTCCTCACCTTCTCCTAATTTCCACACTCCGAATTTTCTGCATAATATTTACACCACACATTGCCCTTAGACAGGACATCTCCACTGCCTCCAACCGTCTCCTCGCTGCTGCATTTACCACCCAAGCTTCACACCCATATAAGAGTGTTGGTACTACTATACTTTCATACATTCCCTTCTTTGCCTCCATATTTAATTATTTATTAATTTATTTATTAATTTGAAAATGATATAGAGAAGTACAAAAGAATACAGTTAAATGCAGCATGCCAAAGCCACTTGAATGCAGAGCATTACGGGCAGGCTTAAAATTAACCTAAGATTAACTAAGCATTGAAGTATTCAGTGGTAAAACATTATTGTAAACAGATAACAATTTAGCACAAATGAGTATTACAAAGACAGGTCGTATGGTTGCTTGCATTGCTGTACAATCAGTATTAATTAATTTATTTATTTATTTAATTTGAACATGATACAGAGAAGTACAAGGAATACAATTTTTAAAGTGCAGCATGCCAAAGCCCCTTGTATGCAGAGCATTATGGGCAGGCTTAAAATTAACTGAAGATTAACTAAGCAATGATATATTCAGTGGTACAAAAATTATTGTAAAACAGATAACAATTTAGTACAAATGAGTATTACAAAGACAAGTCATATGGCCATTTACTATGTTGCTGTGTAATCAGTAGAATGGAGTATTCTGTTAGGTAATGAAGTTAAATAGTAACAAAGTTTGATTGGGTCACAGGTTGACATTTTTTTTCTCCACATATACCTAAACGCAAAACTCGCCTTTTTTCCCTCGTCAATTCTATGATTAACCTCATCCTTCATAAATCCATCCGCCGACACGTCAACTCCCAAGTATCTGAAAACATTCACTTCTTCCATACTCCTCCTCCCCAATCTGATATCCAATTTTTCTTTATCTAAATAATTTGATACCCTCATCACCTTACTCTTTTCTATGTTCACTTTCAACTTTCTACCTTTACACACATTTCCAAACTCGTCCACTAACCTTTGCAATTTTTATTTAGAATCTCTCATAAGCACAGTATCATCAGCAAAAAGCAAATGTGTTAATTCCCATTTTACATTTAATTCCCCATAATTTAATCCCACCCCTCTCCCGAACACCTTAGCATTTACTTCTTTTACAACCCCATCTATAAATATATTAAACAACCATGGCGACATTACACATCCCTGTCTAAGACCTACTTTTACCGGGAAGTAGTCTCCCTCTCCTCTACACACCCTAACCTGAGCCTCACTGTCCTCATAAAAACTCTTTACAGCATTTAATAACTTATCACCTATTCTTTATACTTGCAACATCTGCCACATTGCTCCTCTATCCACTCTATCATATGTCTTTTCTAAATCCATAAATGTAATAAAAACTTCCCTACCTTTATCTAAATACTGTTCACATATATGCTTCAATGTAAACACTTGATCTACACATCCCCTACCCACTCTTAAACCTCCTTGCTCATCCGCAATCCTACATTCTGTACTGCCTCTAATTCTTTCAATTATTACCATTCTGTACACTTTTCCTGGTATACTCGGTAAACTTATTCCTCTATAATTTTTACAGTCTCTTTTGTCCCCCTTCCTTTTATATAAAGGGACTATACATGCTCTCTGCCAATCTCTAGGTACCTTCCCCTCTTTCATACATTTATTAAACAAAAACACCAACCCCTGATTTTAACATTTCTGTCATGATCCCGTCAGTTCCAGCTACTTTACCCCTTTTCATTCTACGTAATGCTTCACGCACCTCCCCCACACTCACATCCTGTTCTTCTTCACTCCTAAAAGAGGGTATACCTCCCTGGCCAGTGCATGAAATTACCACCTCCATTTCTTCGTCGACATCTACTAACTCCCCTACTCTGTTTTTAACTGACAAATCCATTCGTTCCCTAGGCTTTCTTAACTTGTTTAACTCACTCCAAAATTTGTTCTTATTTTCATTTAAATTTCTTGACAGTGCCTCTCCCACTCTATCATCTACTCTCCTTTTGCACTCTCTCACCACTCTCTTCACCTTTCTTTTACTCTCCATATACTCTACTCTTCTCATAACACTTCTGCTTTGTAAAAACCTCTCATAAGCTAACTTTTTCTCTTTTATCACACCCTTTACTTCATCATTTCACCAATCACTCCTCTTTCCTCCTGCACCCACCCTCCTATAACCACAAACTTCTGCCCCACATTCTAATACTGCATTTTTAAAAATATTCCAACCTTCTTCAACTCCCCCACTACTCATACTTGCACTAGCCCACCTTTCTTCCAATAGTCGCTTATATCTCACCCGAACTTCCTCCTCCCTTAGATTATAAACTTTCATCTCCCTCTTACTTGTTGTTGCCATTTTCCTCTTTTCCCATCTACCTCTTACTCTAACTGTAGCTACAACTAAATAATGATCCGATATATGCAGGACAAGCCACGGGGGTGGAAATCTTTAGCTCAAGTACTTTCACACTTTTCAGTGCATCATCAGAAGCTGTGCAATGTTGCAAGGGAGCAACCAAAGCAGGGAGAGAGGTCTCAGAGTAGCGTAGGTGTCACCGGCCACGGTTACCCTTAGACTGGGTTAGTGGTGGGTGCCAACCCCACCCTACCATAATCCCTCCACTACACATATCGGGTAGGAGGGTTTCTAAGATGTCAAGTGGGAAATTATAAGATATAAAAAGCCAGCCCCAAGCTTTTCCTAATCGTTTATAACAGGTTATGTGGTTTGAGAAAATAAGTTTCTCGTTAGATACTGTAGACATGGATAAGCTATTATTCTGTTTGACCTTTTCAAATAATGAAAGAAATGAATACAATGTGCTCTTTGCCAGTTTAAATGTCCTGCTCTGAGGTACTCGAATGTTCTACCCATGTACTCAGAAGTATCTCTTCTTAAATATTGTCTACTATTTTCTAAGTGGCTTTTGACATGCCATACATGGGGACTTCTATGCCTATCCGATAATATTTCTATGATCTAAATTCTACTAATACCCTTTAACCTCTCCTTACGTTATCTCGTTATCTTGTGTGCTTGTCACTGTATGGTACACACACACACACACACACACACACACACACACACACACACACACACACACACACACACACA